ATTTTGGGGATGTTTGGCATTGATGTTATGTGTCAAAGTTGTTCCTTGAGGACACCCTTTTGAGGATTGTTTGACCCCACGCAAAAACCAAAAAAGCAAAAACTGAAAAAACAAGCGGTGGTTGTCCTTTCTCAAACCATCCCGGGCGCACCTGAGCGCCCTCCCATGGGGTCGAAGCCAAGGACACCAAGACCGCCTTGTGCGACGCCTTGGGCGAGGATTCCGTGGCATGGGTGCAGATGCCCGGAGCATGGGGTCGGGCGCCGGGATCCGGGCGCAGACGTTTTGGACCCGTTTTGGCCCCGCAAAGAACGAAACCCGTGTTCCGTCCAAGCTGGGCGCCGTCCTGTTCGGAAAGGGCCCCGTGTTTTTTTTTTTTTTCAAGCCTGCCAGTAACATTTACCACTCCCGTGGAGATTTGGAGAAATGAAACCAGGGAAATTCATCCAAAGGGGAATTTGGCTCTTGAGTATTCCAAGAAAAAAGTTGGAGTTGATAAATGGAACCACTCAAATTCCCCATTGTTCGACACCCAAGAGTGGCAGCTGTGTTGGAATCCACCAGTCAATTTCAACTTGAGATGGAAGTCCAGTGACTTGTTTTGCTCCAAGCTGGCAACAAGCTTTCCTTCCAGATGGTTTTGGTGCGGTTCTCTTCAAGACCAAGCAACAACACAACACTGGCACCGCGTTTCTTCTGGTTTCTGCGGGCGTCCAGGCGGCAGATCAAAAGATGTGGCCTTCTGTGTCTCCATGGCCCAATTTTCTCGTCAAACTTCCTTGTAGCCCACCGGATGCGCTTTTTTCTTGTGGTTTCCTGAAGACCAAGCAGGGTTGTGGGATCAAGGGGTCTATCCCCACTTCTGTGATGCAACAGAATCTCCCCCTTTATACGGGCGGGGGTTAGTCTTTGAGACGCCCGTTCTGTTGTATCACAGAAGTTTTCATTTGCCACAGTCCTGCTTTTCAGAGGTTTAGAGAGGTGGGTCTGCGGCGAGAACGCATCCAAACCGGTAATTCCTGGACCGGCATTGGCATTTCCTGTTTGCAGCCATTTGGCTGTGGGTCAAAACTAAGCCACCCGGAAACCGCAGGTTTTGGTCCTTGGTTCCATTGACCAAGGTTCCATGTCGGGTGCCTATTTTTTACCTGCCATTTTCGGGGCATGTTTTGAGGGCTGATAGGACCTGGAAGGAACACCCCCATAGGAAAAAACTGCATGGTGTTTAATTAATACGGGGTCAACATTAGCTTGTTTTTGCATAACCGGTGTTCAACCACCCCCTGGCTCTAAAACAAAATGCTTCCCCGACGCCACTAAGGATGAACTCCCAGGATCAGTTGCCGGACCCAGACGCGGAGGCTTAGTTGTCCAGCACACATTTTCTCATTTCCTTTTGGTGTGTGTGAATTCCTCATGCGATCACAACTCCCGCTTGCCCGACATGAAGCTGACTTTGGGGCTATGTTCCCCTTGTCGCATCAACCAAGAATAACTCTAGGTCCACCGGTAGTGCCCTTTTCCCCCTTTTTTGGTTGGGAGGATTGGGAGGGTTCCCCTTTTTTGGTTGGGAGACTACCGAGAAGAAACAAATCGGGTAGACCTAGAACTTGACTCAGACTACCAACTTATTCTAACCTCAAACTACTGGAGGACCTAGAACTTGACTTCTTTGGTTGCACCCCAAACCGTGTCTTTTGAACAATGACCATTTCCTTGTCTCAACTAGGAGGTGCGAGACGGGAGTTGGCCAGGGTTTTCTTGAAAATTCTGAGCGGGACTCCGGGACGGCTGTGAAAGTGGCGTGGGTTTGTTGGTAGTTTCTTGGCTCCTGTGTTCTGTTTAATCTTTGGGAATGGAGCGTACCATGATTTAAGACTTGAATAACCACCGCAGTAAATTTGGTTAGTAAGCCCCTCAAGCGAGTCGTATGTTGGGTAAGTCCTACTTAGGGACTTACTCTGGTTCTTAGTCCCTTACTGACTGGTTAAAACCCAGCAAGTGTGGGTCTCCTTTTGGGGATATGGCAGTGGGTCAAAAAGTCGGCACCCAAAATGAAACCCTGGCAAAGGGGTGTTTGCAACAAAAGTTCGGAAGTTCATTTGCAGTCTTTACCCAAGTCTAGCTACCCCAGCTAGGTGCAACCTTTCTCACCCCTTTTTTGGTTGGGAGGGTTCCCCTACTAAAATGGAGTGCAGCAAACAGGCTACCCTTATTCTAGCCTCTTTACTGGAGGAGCTAGAAGTACAGGACCTTCATGGTGAGCTCGTCATACCCCCAAATTGGTGAGCTCGCTATTACATAGGCAGACTCATCCCCAGGTTCATGGCCAGCTTGCTGGTGTTCACCCCAGGGTTTGGGAATGAACTGAGGGATTCCCTTAAAGGAAACCAAATCGAAGATGGCTTATAGGGGTCATTCCAATTCTCATTCCCTGAGGCCCTGAGAACCGGCAAGGCGGGTGGAGTTTTTGTTTGCCTCGCTGAGGAGGGCGCGCTCTTCTCGCGGATCTGTACACCAGGCCACCAGCCGCAGCTCATCGAGCCGCTGGCGGGAATGATGCGCGACCCCAGGCCGGGCGAAACTCCGGTTTTTCTGGTCGACCCCTGAAGATCATGTCCTTTTTGGTGGGTTTGGTTGAAAAATAGAGGGCCCTGGTTTGCCTGGTGGTTCAATCATCTGCCAGGGCGATCTATTTTTTCGCAAAAAGTACACCTATGCTGAAGATGGTTTCTGGGGGTTCTCAAAATGGTGGCCCCCCTAAAGATGGGTTTCCTTTTATATCAAGCCCAGCCAAAAGGGGCTCCATTTTGAGACTGTTGGGGTTGGACACTCTGATTATACTTGAATCCTGCTCTGTTGATTTAGCGGCAAGCCTAAATGTCCATCATCCACGGGTGAGGGCAGAGTCCAAGTTTGAATCAGTCGCTATTCTGACCCTAGCGACATTGAGTGCTGCCTTTACAGCGGTCCAAAAAGGTTGCTATGCGAATGGCTGACAATATCATTCATTGTTTGCAGTCCCGTTTTGGGAGGACAAAAGGGGGTAAGGCCCAAATGTCAAAAACAAGCATGGGGACAACCCAGCTCTCCCCATGTCAAACTCAAAAGCATTTGTACTCTCGTCCAACACCGCAGTGTTTTTGAGGTGTTTGATGGTGTTTGTTTCCACTACCCCCAAGCCACGATTGGCCCAGGGGCAGTCTCACGGAATCCACCAAAGGGTCCAGAGAAAAGGTCAGCCAACGACCATTGTGCTGGGCACATGGCTGTGGTTGTCAAAACCAATGGATCCCATTTTGGTTGGTAGATGAATTCACCGGGGTACGATTTGGATTTTGACCCATGGCCACATCGGCAAGTGGGCAAACTGTGTCCCACCACCCAACTCCACGTCACTGGGCTGAGTGATTTCGCCCTGCAGGTTCCAGTGCAAGTCTGTGGACATCTTCTCCATCGAGCGCCTTGAGCGCAAAAAAGAAGAAAAATAGCAAAACAAAGGAAACACAATGAAACATGGGCAATAATAATGATAATAATAATGATACTGATGATCATACAAATGATAACACAAAGCAGAAGAAAAAAACGAAGCACAAAACACAATCGATGCGATGCCCTTCCGATTCGATGCGATTTCTGTGTTTTGATGTTTGGAGATGCCGGTCTTGTCTAATATGGCCTTGCTTGCTGGTGCTCGGCAGGGTCGGGGAACGAGGGAATGACCCTGAACCACCCAACTGGTTGTTTCCTTGAAGGGGACCAAAGCCTGGGTTCGTTCCCACATTGCCTACCTATCGCACCAGCAAGTGATATGGGCTTGTCTCAAAAACATTTTGGGACTCCTAGAAGTGGTCGGTATCCCTTCGGGAAACCCCGCCAACTTGAATGGAGGTTTTCAGCAGAAGTGTGGTATCCCTTTGGCTTCTCAAGAAAAACCAACCCGAAGGGTGCCGAGACTCGGTCTCAGGTGGCTGGTGCTTGGTGACAACCAGACCTTCGCGACAGCTCCTGGGGCAAAGCGGATCATGTTCGATGCTGGCGGCTCCTTCTTCGAGCACGCGATGCTGTTTTTCACCTCTGCCTACGAGCAGCGGGGTCTGCCTTTCGACGAGTCCTTTGAAAGCGACAATCAAGCCATTGTTTTTTTTGGTTCCTTTTTTTCCGGGCTTTTGAAACTGTCCGAAGTTTCTGTTTTGACATCAAGTCACATGTTAACCGAGGTTCACTAAATATGGCCCAAACTCAAATGTTGTCCGATTTTCGCTTTCAAACCGCAACGTCTTCGTGATATTTTTCCATTGGCAGTGAGGATCTACGTTTGGGAGACCAACGGGCAGGTGAACCAAGTGAATTACTGGCAGAACATCCCTCCAGATTGGAAGGCGAAATACCAGCCGAGGACCACCTTCTATGACCGGCCCCCGTGCCGAGTGGCATCCTTTTGCTTCTTGTGTTTCGAAGGTTTTCCCTCCAATTTGAATCCACCAAGAAAGGGTGCAAATGTTTCCCAGTGGCCCGTAAAATTCTGAGGACCGGCATCAGCGCGAAGGTGGGGGATAAGCACAATCCCATGACCCGGAGACTCAGCTGGCAGCGAATCCAGCTTTTGATCCTTCCATTTTTTCCAATGTTTGGCAACCAGTTTGAGTCATGCGTGCCACGCCGAAGTGGAGATGTATGTGTTTTTTTCCCTGCAATGTCAGTGGCCAAGGATGTCTACAGCCCCCCCCCACCCTTCAGGTCTTACTTGGCCGAATTTCGCCTTATTGGGCCCAAACTAGATGGCCTTATGCCCGAGCCGTTTGTGGGATCGAGAGCGCCGTTTTTTAAAGCAGGGTTGGTTCCGGTCCCCAAGTTTGGGTTGCGCTTTTGCAGCAACAGAATCCCAATCGACGCGGTCCCCTTCAAAAAACACCCGGAGGGGGGACTGTGGGAAGAGTTCGGGTGCTGTTCTGCCTGTTTGATTGGGATCCCCTTTAAACAAAGTGGCCAGATTGGGACCATTGTCCGCTGGCTCTTCCGGAACCTTGTGGGTATGTCTCAAATGGGTTGAACGCCTTCACGGTATGAAAAGGAACCCAAAGCGAACTAGCCACCAAAGGGTCACATGAGTAGTCAGGGCGAGCAGTAGAAATTCCAGGGGAAGATGTCGGTCATGCGTACCCATAGAAAATCGGCATCAGCAAAACCTCCCAGTTTACATCGGGCCGCGTCTCACGACATTTTGGCGCACTAACCAAGTATGGAGTATGATGTCATCATGGCCAGGCTTTCGAGCCGATTCTTTTATTAAAAAGAGGCAGGTACTTGGAGGGCTAAAAGGGGTCTCTCCTAAAACTCCCTTTGCGTAGGCCGGAAGGGTGGCGCTGGCTGAGGATCTCCCGCCCAACACTGGTTCCTTTCACGTTCCCGCTATTTTTTGAAGAACATATATTTTCATGCATTCCCAGATTGCGCGGCATACCAGAGTTTTTTGGGAACACTTGCTTTTTTTGCCTCCCCGGATTGCCGCATGGCATGCGATGCACGTGGCGCATCGCATCGCATCGCTGCATGCCTTTCGGCCGGGTGAGGATCTACGAGCAGTGCCGGCCACAGGACTTCTGCGTCTTCAAGCTGGACATCGACTACTCGGCCGTGGAGGTGCCCATCGTGATGCAGATCTTGGAGAACCCAGGCGACCCGGAAAGAGATCGGATCGGTCGGATCGAAGCAAAAAAAACAACATCTGTTTCAATTCACGGCACAGAAGGGGGACCGGGCCCCTACTAACACAACAGCATCCCTAGACCGAAGTATACCGAAGTGCCACATGATGACTGCCTTGCTGTTTGCTGGTGGGGAAATCTTTGAGAGTTATTTTCAAAGCCGATGGATGGGGCCGAAATTGCCTCTTTTTGTGTCACTGCCCTACCGCATTCCACCCGGACCATCCGCGCTCCAAGTGACCGGTGTGAAGCTCCATGATCGCGGAATTATGTGTTGGTTGTTCAGTTCTTTCCGAGGGCTCTTTTTGGCTGCATGTTTCATTTGGGCCCGGGACTTCCCTGAAGACGCTGTGTCACTGGTTGTTGGTCGGGTAGCACAGACCAAGCGTGTTGAAATGTCCAACTGCTCGCTCATTCGAAGAAGGTTCTTTTCCTGCCTGTCGCTTTCGTTGCTTCCCTAAGGATTCCAACAGGGAAACAAGATCAGCAAAGCCAGCGCTATCAATTGCATGACCCCACACATGACCCCACACAATAACCTTTGAAGGTGACTCTCGAATTCACAGTAGTGCTTTTTTACCCTTTTTTGGGGGAGGGTTCCCCACTATATATAGACTACAGAAAAAAGGGTACCCTTATTCTGACCTCTCTACTGGAGGACCTAGTAATGATTGACTTGTCAAACTGGGGCTCACATTCCAAGACTTCTTCCTTCCGCGGTTTGTTTCCCGTAGGCAACCTCAAGGAGTTCTTCTTCGAGTACCACGTGCGGACGCCCATCATGGAGCCCTGGTGGCTTGGAGCGCAGCCTTTGGAACGCTCGTGGTCTGGTGACCGCCCCTCCCCCGGAGGACCATTTTTTCGGAACTTTGGACGAATGTTGTCCATCCATACCATGGATGGACAAATTTCTGCACCACCTAAGAAACACTGGAATGATGATTGCCTGGTAAATACCAGCAAACAATGGTTTCCCATGGTTTCCAAGCGGTGCAGGAGTTCGTCCACAGTATTAATCAACCCCCTCCCCATTGAATCAACCCCACTTTGAATTAATATGGGGGTGCTTTTCCCGAATCGTCAACGGACCGTCTCTTGGCTCCACGCGCCTCTTCCTTTTGGAGGTTTAGGCCCACTTTGCGTCACGTCTGTGGGTGTCAGTCACGTCTTAGTGGCGCGCCCAGGACGCATAATGTGGGCTTTTTTTTGCCAAAAACAACTACACAAGGTTAGACATGTTGCCTATAGTCGACACACGCATTGATTCAGTTGGTGGTTTATACCAGTCATAAGCATAGGGTTTCATCCATCCCAGCTGGTGCAGGATTTCGTCAATCCGCGGTATGAGAAACTGACAATACCGTTCGTAGTGCAACGTTTGCTCTGTTGCTCATCTCTGTGCTTTTCAAATTGTCAGACAATCCTTTTGGTATGTGAAGGGCAACCCAAAGGAAACTGTTGCCATTTTGGGGGGCCATCATTTTGAGCAACATCCGACTTGTGTCTAGGTTTCGGCTTTTTTATTTCCATGCTCGTGGGCTTTTTGTCGGAACCGGTGCCCTTGGAAGAGAGGCAGCAGGGGGCCGGGGTGCAGATCCGGTATGGAACCCGAGGTGGAAGAACGGGTGGAACGGCACCATGGCGGACAGCTACTCGGTGTTCCAGCGCCTGCGCCAGGCAGGCATCCGGGCGCATTCCTGGACCTGAGCGACATGCAGGCGCTCTCGATGATAATTTACGCTTGATGAAAATTTGACTCCCTGGAAACTAGGTTGCTCCAGTGGTGCCCTTTTACACTTTTTGGGGGGATGGTTCCCCTACTAAAATAGACCTTATTCTAACCTCTCTACTGGAGGACCTAGGAAATGATCGTGGAACCTGACGTTCGGGACCCGGTCCCTTTAAAAGGAAGATGGTCCAAACCAGGACCCCACTTCCTCTTGTCAGGTTCCATGTGAACTCTCAGGGTACTCTGCACAACATGGAGCCCAAAAGTGGGGGCTTTCCCCAAGAGTTCCGCGAGTTCCATGGGCTCGAGGCTCGGGCAACCTCCCAACACACATGGAAGTGCACAGGCACGGTGCACCAACCAAGGGCTTAGCCTGCGCTTCCACGTTTGTTTGTGTGAGAACAGGGTGGCAAAGGACCACCTTTGGTGTAAATGGCGAGGTGTGTCAGAAACGAATCCAGGCCTGTTGCTTAAAAAACGGCTCGAACAGGACAGCAACTCCAGTGAAGTCGTTGCCATTTGGGGGCTTTCAGCTCGTTTTGACACAGACCCAAAGTGGCGAATCCCAACGAAGGATTTGGCGGTGAACAGCACGCGCTGCGGAAAAGATGTTCAGAGTGAGCGACGCCATATGTCCCCTTGTGGAGTGCCAATACATCCGTGGGTGGTCGCGGATTCCACTATCCCAACATTACCCCCAGAGTGAAGGGGGTCATGTGACCCCAGTACATAAAAGTAGAATTTATATATATATAGACATATATATATATATATACATAAATGGTTGTGTGTTGTGGTTCTCCATTGAAATGTTGGTTCCCTTTGAAGCGGTACCCTCAGAAAAGACACCCATGTATATACGTGTATATACATGTATACATATATATATATATAACAAGAAATAATATCCCTTGTGTCTCGATCCTTTGTGGGAGGATGGGAACACGTTCAAAATGTTTGGTGGACACAAATCCCGATTCAAATGGCTCACCGAAGGGTACAACCAGTTACAAATACAACCCCACGCGACTTAGTGTTTTCTTCTTCTTTTCCCTTTTTTTCTTCTTCTTTTTTTTTTTTCTCTCGGTTCTGTTTGCATTAAGTGGGTGGTTGCAACAAGCAACTGTCTTTCTTTTGTGTTTTGTTCACGTGTTGTTTCATCATGTGGCAAAACGGCCGAATGGCCGTTTGGCTCAAGATTTGGATCCCCCGTCGGGACTTCCTTGGATTTGCGTGCGTTCGCCATAGTGCGGCGATCGGCTGCGCCATCGCGGAAAAGGTCCGTGGTGTTCCAGCTGTTCGGCACTAGGAGGTGGGCGGCAGGTCGCCGAGGTGCTCCCGGGCCCGACCCTTGTTTTTACCTTCTTCTACCAGTTTCCTAACCTCCCCAAACTTGATCTTCATTAACTGTCACTCCCACAATCTGGTCACCGGCACCCTCTACATTGTGCTTTGGGACTGGGTTCTTTTGGTACTTCGTGAACCACGTGTACCTCTTTGATTCCCTGGGCTACTTCGTGTTCGCCCAAAACCGCAGGTTATCAGCCGTACCAGCTAGAAGCTGGGGCTGGTGATCCGGTTGCGGGACGTGACCCGCTACCTGCTCCCATCGCCTACTTGTACGAGCAATGGCGTCCCCCGGAGCTTCTCATCGTGGGCCGGGCTTCGTGGACGACGAGGCCAACGCCCTTCGCGGCAACGCCGCGCCTGCTGCCCCCGGCTTAGACAGCCGGCTGTGGCCCATTCCCCCGATGGTGGGCGCAGAGCCCAATCCCGGGGTGATCACGGACGATTGGATCCTTTCTCAGGTTGTGTTTGATGAGGATGCGGAGGCCCCTATCCCGGCGGCAGTGCTCCAGATCGAGGACGGACCCCCTCTAGAAGAGGCTGAGGTTCCTCCAAATCAGGTGCCCTCATCGATTTCACCTACTGTTCCGTTCGTGGCGCTCCAGATCGAGGACCGGGCTGTCCATCATGCTGCTCATCCGGAGCCGGCTCAATCATGGTCCCTTACATGGGATCAGTTTGACCAGCTCCTCGGCAGTGGATCGCAGGCTACACCGCCTGATTTCGGTCGGCTCGACTTCAACTCGGGTGCCCCCATATCGGTTGGGAATCTGGATTTTCAATCCCTTTTTGATGCTGATTGGAGGTCGCAGCCTTCCCGAATTGACAGATCTTTTGATGCCCTGCCTACACATGAGCCTACTCAGGGTTTTCCTCATGATGGAGAAAATGACCCCATTGAAGATTTCTCCCCCTCTCATGTTGCAGGTTCGGCCCAACCCGAGGTGGGCAAACGGGCGATTGAGGATTGGCCGCAAATAGCTGGCCTTCCTCCCGTCTCAGGTTCATCCGACATTGACATCATTCACGATCACCCCAGTCCGGCGGATATGGACTTTATCCCTGACGCAGTATCATCTCACCTGTCAGGTACCCGCGACCGGAATGCGGACCGCTACAACGCTGGTCCGAATCCACCGCTTTCCTCAGGTACCCGAGGTCGGGATGCGAACCGCTACAACGCGGGCTCAAATCCGCCAAATCGGGCATCAGGTACTAATCGATCGGACGCGGGCCGCGAAACAGCAGGCCCAAATCCTTCCTCCACTTCATCAAGAAGCCATGCCGGTCTATTCGCGGCGTTCAATCGGCGTCAGACTCGAAAAGAGTCCGCCCCCGACGTCATCGACCTCGAAGAGCAGTCCAGCCACCGTACCAGTGATGGATCCGAGCAGGATACACCTGGTATTGGCTCTACTCCCTTCGACCTCCTCGACATCCCCTTCCATCAGCCACCCAGGAGAGGAAATGAAGATGATGAAACCATCCCTGGGATCCTTGATGTAATCGATGAGGCCGAGGTCACACCAGAGAGACGAACGACATCGCTCCCGCCGAGCCGCGTTGCCAAAGTACTTTCCCCTAAGCCACTCATTGGTGACGTTGCTCAACGGCTTGATCTCACTCAACCTGATCCAGATCAAGCTCAACTTCGCGGGTCGTCATCTTTTGATAACATGTCGGGACAAACCGGCACTGACTCACGAGCCACAAAGAGGAGCTCTGAGTCACCCGAGAGACGTGAAGCTGCTTTGCGATTGCGATCTAATCCCCCAGCTCATCACGATCCTATTGACGTTCCTATCCACTCTGCGGGGTCTGGGCTCAGCTCCAATGCCCCGATGTCTGAGAAGGAGACTGATGACGGGATTAACTCTACGCCCAGGAATCGGAGACCTGGACTTAGCACTGTTGCTCCTGGTCATGGAGGGCTTCCTTCAAATCAACCGGTCAACAACTCCCTCGTCCCCGCATTCTTTCAAATTGGAACTCCGGGCTGCACTCCCGACAGGGAAGAAAATAGGCGCGGAGATCATGACGCTGATAGTCGTCCTGCTCCGTCTGCTTCCACAAGTGGCGGCCATCCTGTTGCATCTGAGCTTCAACGACTGCTTCTCGCGATCCACAACGAGGTAAAGGGGTGCAAGGCCGAAATCCAGGGATGCAGAACTGAGATTCGTTCATGTAGGGATGATATCAACGCTTGCGTCGGTGAGATCAAGAAGATCAATAACCGTGTTGACGCCTTCGAGAAGAAGGTTGAATCATCTTTCTCTGCCGTTGCCGGAACTCTCTCAAAACACGAGGCCAAGTTCCGTGATTTCCACGAGTGGGTCGCCCGAAGCGAGAAGGAGATGAATGAGCGTTTCAAGATGTATGATGAGAGGTCTGACTCGATCGTCATATCCGCTGCTGAACTTCGCGAGCAGGCCGAATCACTTGAGAACGTCAAGGTCCAGCTCCTTAGGTTCTCTGAGATCGGGGCCCTTGAGGCTGAGGTTCGGAAAATCAAGGACGAAGTTGAGGCGAACTCTCGCAGTGTCATCGACATTGAGGGAACCATCTCAAGGGAAAGAACCATCCGTGGGAACGTCGAGACGTATATCCAGCAGCTCGTTCCTGCGACCGACCTGAAGCAGTTCAGTGATAGGATGTCCGGAGCTCTCAATGAGAACTCACAGAAACAGGAAGAGTTCAAGCTTCAATTGTCCCGTATTGCTAGATGCGTCAAGGACCTTCATGACAAAAGCTTAGGCCCCAATCCGAGGGACATGCAAGAGCAGTTTATGAAGCTTGTGCTGAGGGTCAATGAGATCAACATGCAGATCGCTGAGTTGAGGGAGCAACCTCTTGCTGCCTGCGGGTCTTCAAGTGCTGGCGCTGCTTCGACCGCCGGAACGGGACCATGGGAGAAATCTGGAGACACTGATCCCTTAACCCAGGGAAGGGCTCCTAGAGATTCTCCCTCTCGTGATGCTCGCACCGTCAGCTCGGCTAGGCCTCCTCCACCTCCACCTCCTTCAGGGCCACCCCCACCGTCACCATCAGCCCCCATCTTCGGCAGGGATCCCTCTAGAACGAGGGCCATTGCTCGGGCTGCCGGCGCTGCCCCTGATAACCGGGCCAGGTGTGATCATGAGGAGCCCGGGCATCCACAGCATCGGGAACCTCGCTATCCATGCCGAAGCTGCGGCAAGTCAGTCTGCGAAGACTGCTTTGACCATGATTGTAACTCGTGTTTCAAGTGCAGCGATCAGTTTCCTAGATGCCGCGCATGCAGAGGAAGAGGGGGGAGACACGGACTTGTGAGGTGTCTCATATGCAAGGACGAGTACTGCGATCAACACATCGCCTCACCTGACGATGTGCGCCGTTTTGGATCGAGTGTTCGACCTATTTGCCTCGGTTGTCTGAGAGCTGACCCCGACGGGAAAACTAAGCATCGCGGTCCCAGTGCGGGGCCTGGAGGACCTGATTGCATTCCTGATCATAATCAGCGGGATGGCACTGCTCCTGATCCTGGATCCGGGCCATCACGTGGAGATCCGTCACATCGGAGTCCTGAACCGCACCAAGGGAACTCTGGTTCCTGTTCCCACGCCGGAGCTGCCGGGCCAATGCCACCAAGGGCGATGTCTTCGCCCGTAGTCGGGCGAGCAGTTCTGAGGGGGACCATCAACACGTATCCCGGATGTTCCCCTACAGGGGGGATT